ATAAATTTGGTTAAGATGCTGTGATGGCATTTGCACGTTTTTGAAGTCAGTTTTTTTTAATGTTTAATTTCTAATACTTGTACCGACTAAGGAATTATATTTGGCATCAGGGAAAGATTTTGTATTTCAACAGGATGAAGCAGGATGTTACACGTCTAAAAAAGACCTAAAATATATGGAAGACTTCGGTTTCCCACTTTTGGAATGGGTTTCTAGTAGTTCTGATCTATTACCAATAGAAACGTTTTGGCATGAGATCAAAAAGGTACTTCCAAAACATCCTGCAAGAACAATACCTCAACTTAAATAAAAACTTCAAAATATATGGGATTCGTTTACACCAGAATTTTGCCAAGGCATAGTTAATACCATGCCGCAAAGAATTTCTGCTGTAATAAAATATTTTTATTCTTTAAATGCGAATTTCCTAAATATTAATTGGTGGGCCAACTGAAATGGGAAGGGGCTCGTAGATTTCGAGACAGTCAAAAAGTTAACTATAATACACCTATTCTATATACACTCACCGGCAGAATTAACCGCCCACCCAATTATTTTTATTTATTTCTGAAATTTTCGGAGATTTTCGTCACTTTTTGACATTAGTTGATATGACATGACATTTTGACAGTAAATAAATGTTTAACTGTCAGTGCTGTTATTCTTTCGCTTAGACATTAAAAAGTAAAAAAAAATAATTACAAATATCTCTAACTAAATAACAAAACATTGGGTGTGCGGATAATTCTTCTAGTGAGTATATATTAAATGGTAACATATGATACTTGTGTAATTAGGATTTTATAAATTTTACCCTTCTCTATTTTAACTTTTAAATGAAAAAAGTTAATGACAAAACAAAAACGAGGTAAAACTCAAGTTATATTATATTTTTGTTATAATGAGATGCACTTTACTTGAGACACGTAAGATAGAAGGAGTTACTAGCTTTAAATTTTCTAATGGAAGGTAGGGTTATGTAATACCTCATTTGAAATATATTTTCTATATTTTTACGTGTAAACAGATTAAGGTTTTTATGTTTTTACAGAAATTATATAAAATAAATTCAAAAAGTAAGTTAAATCCTTTTTTTTTATTTACTGCTTCAACCTCAAAGGATCATTAACGGAGGTATAAATGTTGTTGTAGCATACAATGGATAATTAACATTTTGGCTAGTACAGAGTAAATGTACGAAGGCGTAGAAGGGCCACATAATATAATTTTATTTTATTTCGACTTTAAAATCGAAATTCCAACTTTAATCTCGAAATTTCTACTTTAATCTCGAAATTACGACTTAAATCTCGAAATTTCGACTTTAAACTCGAAATTTCGACTTTAATCTCTAAGGGTAAGTTCGGTTTAAAACTCGACGGATCGGACAGAGCGCGCACGGAGTGCGTGACGTCATCGACAGATTTCGCTCTTTACAATCTCAAGACGAACACAACGGGAATGACAAATGACACTCTAGGGATAGTTTGCACTTGAGTACACTTTTGTGTGTGGAATGGACTGTAAAAAATTAATTTTAGTCAAATAGGAAATAGTTATAACAAAAACAAACAAGTAATAATACGTATGAACTGATTAAATCATAGATTAGAATATTGACGTTTGACATTTTTGACACATTCCTACAGATACCCGTTGATCTCCACCGGCCAACTCTGGGAAGAGTGAGCGCGCTCTGAGTACGTGATCTGTGGCAAGCCAAACACAAAAGAGAACGCTCCGAGTGCCAAAACGACCACAATTGGGGCATACCGAGTGCACTCCGAGTACAGCGAACGCCAAACCGAACTCAGCCTAAATTTCGACTTATTTAGAGATTAAAGTCGAAATTTCGAGATTAAAGTCGAAATTTTGAGAAAAAAGTCGAAATTTCGAGAATAAAGTCGAAATTTCGAGTTTAAAGTCGAAATTTTAAAATTAAAGTCGAAATTTCGAGATTAAAGTCGAAATTTCGAGAATAAAGTCGAAATTTCGAGATTAAAGTCGAAATTTCGAGATTAAAGTCGAAATTTCGAGATTAAAGTCGAAACTTCGAGTTTGAAGTCGGAATTTCGACTTTAAAGTCGAAATATTTTTTTTTACTATGTGGCCCTTCTACGCATTCGTATAAATGTCAGTATCTTTTATAAATTTAAGTAATTTTTTACTGTTTGAGGGATTTAACACTGCACAAATGGCAATTTTTTGTAGCTGATACTTTGTTCTTATACAGACATGTTCGGGGCCTTTACTAATAAGTTACATTCTTGATAACTCTCGTATTAACAATTATTATTTATTACTAAGGAAAACGCTTCTTATATTTACTAAAATAAATAAAGAATATCAAAGGTGATTTAAAAACCACTTAACGTATTAAATTTTTCATAACTTCTTGGCAAAAAAAGCTTATTAAAAAATTCTCTTCTACCATTATCTAACATTTCTAAGATTATTGCGGCACACGAGGATTATCAAGAATGTAATTTTTGTAAAAACAAAAAAAAATTAAAACTGCTTGGACGCAAATATAATCAAAATATCTTTCAAATGAGGTATTACATGACTTTACTTTCCATTAGGAAATTTAAACATAGTAACGCCCTTTATTTTACGTCTCAAGTAAAGTGCATCTCATTATAACAAAAATATCATAATGTTTCTCTAATTTCACATCGTTTTTGTTTTATGTCTTTATCTTCTTGCATTTTGAAAACATACTACAAAATGCTTTCATTTGACATCACAGGATTGCATTAGAAAAATTCTAACTTTCAATTTAACCTCTTTCCCCCTCCCCAACTAACTTACAAGACAAAGTATTTTCGTTTTTAGTTAACGCCTAATCTGGGCCACTTATTACTTCAAATTTCAATTGTAAAACGACTGTGACAGACGGACAGACAGAGAGACATAAGTATTTCTAATTGCCAAATTTGGGTACTAATGCGCAAATTACTTGAAAAATTCTTTGTCTTACAAATTTTACCGTTTTTTCATGTTTCGTATTTATCAAATTTAAATTTGATATTGTTTTATCGCGAGAGAAACGAGGAGAGACGAGACAAGACGAGAGTAAAGGCTCTCTCGACCGAGAGAAGCGCCTTCTCGTCGAGACGAGAGAACAGTTTTCTCTCGCCCTACGAGACGAGACGAGAGAGGCCACTTTCTCGTCTCGTCTTGTCTCGCGGCATTACTAACGATTTTGAGTTACAAGAAGCTGTTTTGGCCCATTTTGAGGATAAACCGAAAGAATATTTTTTTAAAGGGATTGAATTATTAATTAAACGTTGTAAGAAGCGCTTTGAGGTTAAAGGAGATTCCATTGAAAAATAATAAAAACTTGTTGTTGTACTTTGCCTCCTTCATTGTCAGGCCGGGAATTATTGGCGCTTACTCGTATCTGCATTATTGTTTGTTATTTTTTCAAAGCTACCTTTGATTCTGGCTTATTTTCTAACGAATTGAATTTAAGTTGAAATAATTCTATAATCCATGTGTTAATAAATTTAAAAATAAATAAAAAGTTGATGTTTTTTAGTTTTCTAATATAATTCCTAATTGATGCATTGTTAATTAATTTGTGAGTTAAAAAAGGATGTGATCTTTAATACTGTCTTATTGTCGTTATACAATGAAAATGTCAATAGATGGGCCAACTAAAATGAGAAGGGGGTTGTATACCTTGGTGTTAATTTCCTCCTCATTTACATAACAATTGCAAATAACTCAAAAAACATTTTGCAAAGTACCTACATACCAAAATAATACTCAATAATACATATTCAAAAAAAATATTTTTAAATGATGATTTTATGTACACACTTGAAATTTTCTGATCTGACATATTTAATACTACTTGTCGATAGCGATTCTGCTATAAGTACTTCTGTTCATTATTTCTTCCACTGTCTACCTTTTGATTTCAGTTGTGTATACCTATTTCACTCTGTAGCAAATAATTCCTCTTTAAGAATGAAACACCCTATATACAATAAATATATATCATTTATTGGAACTTTGTCGAACTGTAATTAAACTGGCCCCATCAATTTTGATTGATATCGGTTCGAAGAAGAAGGAGAAGTGGAGAGTTTTCAACGAGAAATGAGTTTTTGAAAGAGAAAATTGAATTTTCAACCTATATAAGCTCTCGTCTGGGTTCAATTTCGACTTATGAAATTCGGTTTTGTCAACTTATTCATCATAATTAGAAAATTTCGTCTCGAAAAATGATTTATCGAGGCTTTTCATTTTGAAATGTCAAAAGTTTATATCGTAAATATGTATTTCATTTTTTTATGTATCTACCTACTCCCAAGTTTAAAATTAACGACATTCAGAGAGGTAGTAAATGTAAAGGCTGATTTCTGTTGCGTATAATAAACCCTATGAATATTACATAACAAGGGCTATACATAGTAGTTGATATGCAGGGGAAAATATTGCAATTCCACGAGCCCGCCCACAGATTTAAAAAAAAAACATATTTTACATCTCTAAATAATCATTTTTCAAATTTTATTTATACCTTTTCTCTTGAACCTTTAGATAACTTCTACATACAGCGAAATGGAATTTACAATTAATTTATTATATTTATTGTACAATAGGGTGATGCTTAAAAATGAAAATTCAACGGTTCACCCTCCCATTTTGATCTCTCATAAGTAAAATGGAGTTAACTAAAATTTTGTTGGATTTCATTGAGTTTTAGGGGTCGCTACCAGGCTTTAAATTTCATAAAAAATGTTAAAATTCAATATAATTTTCATTAGTAATTTTTAATATTATAAAAAAACCTTATCTCACTCAACACTTTATTTTTATGCCAGGAAGACTCCAATCTAACCACACAACCCCTCCCTTCACTCTAGACCAACTCCCCCCTCTCCCACCAACTTGAGGAGCCAGTCACTGCTTGTCAGTGTAGTCGTAGTGGCTGGCTATGATTAGTGCGGGTGTGTGCACGTATGTGCACGTGTGCAGTTAGTCTAACCCAGCGGTCCGCAATCTTTTTGATATTGCGACCCCAAAATTAAAAAAAGAGTTATGAGCGACCCCAGAAAAAAAAATCACTAAGTTAACAAGTGCAAAGGTTGGTTCAGGTAACGAAGTTAGTTGTTTTTATTTCGTAAATTATTTATATTAAATAGTTTATTTATTTTGGAAAGTAATATTGGAGCAAACCAGAAAATATGCATTTAATATACGAGTAATATTTATGATGGCATTAAATGAGACAAGCAATTATTTTAATATTTTATTTAAAAAAAGAGGTACATATACGTAACCTTACAAACTAATGTGAACCTTGTGATTGCACACTTGCAGTCAGTATATTAATTCTTGGTGATATATTATCCGAAACAGGCACCCTCAAATCAGGTTCTACGTTAAGTCTGGAGCGATATTTTGTTTTTACAGCAGTTAATGTGGAGAAAGCTGTCTCGCAAAGGTATGTAGATGCGAATGGCAGCAATTTCAGCAGAGATGTTTTGAATAACAGTGGATAATTCTTTTCCGTCATTATCCAGAACTTGGATAGATCCGTGGTTTTGAAAATAGATCGAAGGCTTTCATCGGACATTAAATCGATCAGCTGCTCCTTTTCTTTTAAGTTCATCTTCACAGTGTTAAGATCACAAGTGAATGGATTAATGATCCATTGGTCGCCGTATGACGTATCTGGGAATCTTATTTCCAAGTCTTGCTTAAGATTTGTAAGATGCATCATGATTTTGGTTTTAATTTCTTCTTCGAGCTTTATATTGTTTTCTTCAGAAAATTTCTCCAAACATGCAAACATCTCGTAGTTTTCAGCACTGATTTCGTCTATCCACAAACTTATTTTCTTACAAAAAGCTTTTATTTTGTTAGCTAAAATCAATACATTTGTACTCTTCCCTTGCAACGATAGATTTAAATCGTTAAGTTTTTCAAAAATATCCGAAAGATAGCCAACTGTTGCCAGCCAATTTTCATTCAAGAAATATTCCGCTAGCTTTGGTTCCCGTTCAAGTAGAAATATTCTGATTTCATCTTTGAGATCAAATACACGTCGGAGTATTTTTCCTCGCGATAACCACCTGACCTCCGTATGTAACAGTAGATTTTCGTATTCTGATCCCATTTCACGACACATTATTTTGAAAAGGCGACTGTTTAATGCGCGAGCTTTAATAAAATTTATTATTGTTACGACTTGTTCCAACACTTTATTTACATCTGGTTGCAAATGTTTTGCTGCAAGGGCTTCACGGTGAATCATACAGTGAACAAAGCCTACGTGAGGTGCAATCTCAGTTACTTTTGCTTTGAATCCTGTTTTGGAGCCGGTCAATGCAGCTGCGCCGTCTGTACACACAGATACACAATATTCCCACTTTATGTCATGGAGTTCAAAAAAGGTATTAACTGCATTAAAAATTGCTTCACCGGTTGTTCTTCCTTTTAATCCCTGACAAAATAACAAATCTTCGCATATGTCGTTTTCATATCGGTATCGGATAAATATCAGAAGTTGAGCTACATTAGCTACATCAGTGCTTTCATCCAGCTGAATAGCATAATAGGGACTCTCTTTCACGTGATCTATAAGTTGTATTTTGATATCATCAGCAAGTAGATTGATACGACGATGAACAGTGTCACTTGATAGTGGAATTGTTTTCAGTACATTGGCATACTTTTCTCCTTGCATGATCGAAACTATTTTCATTGCAGCTGGCAAAATGAGCGTCTCGCCAATGTTGTGAGGTTTTTTATTTTTGGCAATCAAAAAGGAAACCTCGAAAGATGCTTGTAAGGCTTTTTGGTTAACTGTTGTGTATTTTTGGAAATCAACCTGCTGTGTCGTTAGTTTGGTGGCAAGTCGTTTAAAATAAGATTCATCTTTATTCTTTAATTGTGGGTGCTTAGTTTCTAGGTGCCTTTTCAGTTTGGCCGGCTTCATGCTCTCATTTGCCGAAACCTCCGAACAAATAACGCACTGTGGACGTTGTTCAAAATTCAACACTGTACATTTAAAACCAAACTGGATGTACGATTCTTTAAAAATGCGTTGACGCTTCCCAGTTGTCTCCGATGTAGCTGTTGCTTGTTTAATTGAAGTTGAAGCGTCACTTTCTGTATCGATGTGTAAGGTAGATGTGGCTATTGAACTACAATCATCGCTGTTATGACTAATAGTTATAGTAGTGGAACTAGATGTTGCTCTGCTGTCATCGATAGTAATAACACTACTAGTACTTGAAGTGGCGGCATTGTTTTCACAACTTATATTACTCGTAACAGTAGTTGTCATTGTTGAGGCGACACTGTTGTCAAGAACTACGTGTTTAATTCTTTTGATTTGTGATGCGTTATTAGGACTTCCGCCACCTGGATCTTTAGATGTGCGTTTTATTAGCCACTTATCCATTGTTAACTGCAATAATAAATACGTATTAATAATTAAAAAATGTATTCCAAACGATTAATATTAGATTTTTCGTCATATGCTCGCGTGGTAACAGGATTTACTTCAAATTTATAATAAAAAAATATTTTTATTGACAGTTGCTGAGGACACTTGCCCGATAAATAAGTTATTTATAATAAACATAAATTTAATTTTATTTCAGAAAATATTGGGCCATTAATAAAATAATATGTATAATGAATTATAATTTAAAAGTACAGAAGTTATAAATTCGCGCTGGTTTTGTTATTGTATGAGTATGAGTGCACAGTTACTTACCGTGTGCGTGGTTATCCACGAGAACACTAATATTCTAAAAAAAACTTTCTACAGAAGTAATCTTCCGTGTTTTGACATCAATTTAGTATGTATCTGCAATCGACAAAGCGGCGGCGATGAGTACGCACGTGCGGATAGAACTGACTGAACAGATAGACTGAACTGAACGAAGTAAGAGAGATCGGGGTGGGGGCGCGGGCGCGGGAGCGGTGAGGTGACGGGAGGGACTGGACAGGGTCGTACAGTCGTAATTATTTTCGATTCTCTCCGTTTTAAGGACATTGTGTAATTGTGTATGTAAAGAGAGGTTATATTTTATGCATAAACCCTTATAAAATTCGATAAGTACAGGACCTTTTTTGGCGACCCCATAAATATCTTTCGCGACCCCACACGGGGTCGCGACCCCAGGGTTGCGGACCGCTGGTCTAACCTTCAAAACAGTTTATTTCGCTTATATTATAAAGACTTAAAGAGTAATTTATTTTCTGTTTTTTTTACAGTGAATCTAATAAGTTTCGTAAGTAAGAGTTTTTATTTGTGGGAATTATAAACAATAAACTATATAATGAATAAATAAATTTGTATAGACTGGAAGGTTATATTACTTGTTTTGGCTGTTTTTAACAGACTTCAGATTAATGTGTTTAGGCCTAGCCTTGGTTTTCATAATTTTATTACTGTTATTTATGGCATATTGTAAAGTGCCTGTAGTTTCTACAAGAAAACTACCTTCTAAACGTGAAACTCTTTCTGTATTTTTTATTACAAAGAACAGGAAAAGCAAACAATCCGTGAAGCTGCTCATTCGACTTCCAAAGATGTATTGGAAATTTGGAATAAAGCTAGAATTCCAACACAACAGAAAATTCATGTTGTGAATAAGATTGAAAAGCTTTTTAAAGAGTGGCAGAATCTAAAGAACAATAAAGAAAAATCTAAAAGGTCAGATGGGTTAAGGCTGAAAGAAGAAACATGGAATAATAACCTAGATGATTTATTTGATGTAGCACATGCAAATGCTCTACAAATGATTCGCATTCAAGAATATAGGGATTTTTTACTGGCACAGCGTGAAAAAGGACGTCCAGGTAAAATGGGTATTGTTGACAAAAAACTGTCAAAAAAGGAGAAAGAAAAAGAGCTAAAATCGAATTGTTTAATGCAAAAGAATATGAATCTATCAATTCAATTACTTCTAAATCATATATGCTTAGCTCATCATCCGACGAAGAATCCATGGCGAAGACAATGATTTTTATGGCCCTTCAACGTCATCAGCAGGTGAAAAACAAAATGAAGGTGTGAAGAAAAGAGGTAGAAAAAAACTACTACGAGCCTGGATGTTGCAAAAATAAGCAATCGCAAAGCAGCTCTTGTTCTCACATCCACTTTGAATCGCCTTGGCTGTGATCCTGCTGAATATAATTTAAACTTTTCTTCCATACGCCGTCAGCGACTTGAGTGTAGACAAAAAATAGCTAAAAATATAAAAAAGATTTTGACATTGATGTTCCTTTAACTGTGCACTGGGACGGAAAGATGTTAGAAGATATCACAGGCCATAAAGTTGTTGACCGACTTCCAGTTTTAGGTTCTGGTAAATGGGTAGATCAGCTTCTCTGCATTCCAAAACTTGAGTCTGGTGAAGGTGATAAAATTGAGGCATTGTGTTCCAACACAACTAAAACTAATCACAAATCGATTTGTGTAGTGTCAAATCAGTTCCTAGGTCTGAATAGTAACGAATTCTCGAGACATGCGCAAAGCCGCAATAACATTTCGTGATTGTAACTATATTATTTATACCTATTGTCTCTGACAGTTCGGATTTGTATTTGTTAATCGAGTTTAGTCTTCATAGTTTTTGTTCATTGTCATTTATTTTATTTTGTGGTTTATTATTGTAATAGTGCATTTGTTGAATTTAAAAATTGTTTTTCCAACATAATCGAGTTCTCAGTTGTGTCCCAATCCCCGACCAGTACCTGACAGGTTGTTAATTACTAGTCGTCGACAGATTGTCAACAATAAGTCTTAGACTGGTTTATGTATGTTCCAAGATCGTTGTTGGAACAAACCTAAAGATTCCATAAACATGCCAATCGCGAACATCATTGTCAAGACAACGCAATAAAACTACCTTCCTATACTTCCTAACTTTCGCTCTCACTACGCGCTGATCCTACTTCCCTGCGTCACACTGCGTCATGCGTCACCCTGTGTGCTCAACTCGCGCTCGGACTAAAAATGGGGTAAATATTTAATGCGTAGTGCCTAAACATTTTTGTTTGAACTATCATCTGTCTTTACTAATTTGATATTTTAACATACAATGGATATCGATAGTTATGTTAGTTTTGATGATTCAAACTTTAGAGGATAATATTGAAGAAAGCACGTCAGACGTAGGCCAGGTTCCAGCTTATACCATGGATTCCAGAGATTCTATTGACAGTTCACTTGTTCGCAGCTGGTGTAGATTACAGCCAGATACTCCAGCATTATCTGATTATTTAGTTCTTCACAAATCGTACATTTTCTGGTTTCTGTAACTGCCCGATGAGGTCAAGCGCAAGGATGACCAAAAATAGTAATTAGATATATTAACCAACGACCGGGATCTATTCAGCCCTAGTCACTGATGAAGAAAAATAATTTCTGCATACAAGAACATTGCAATATTATCTTTCACATAAATAAACATTAAAATTCACATTCAGTATTTCTTTTTCTTCTGATATAACTAAATAAATTTTCAATTTATCATGCATTCAAAATATAAAAAAATAAAGTATCACCAAAACTTATAGTTCTAACCCTCCCCACTCGAATCATACTTGGAGTGATTTGACTTCACATACTTTGATTTTCTTTTACTATACGGAGAATGGTCGCACTTCGCAGCTTTCTGAGTGCCTTTTAAAAGGAGATAGAAAACTCCGCCATTTTGATCCCTTATTACGTGTTGCCTACATCTTGGCGCAATATTTTTAATAGGTGCGTTTTAATCATCCGCTTCTGCTTCGGAATTGTCAGTTTTCTTGTTTTAATCTTACAGGTTAAAACGACTAAATCGACAATTCCGGAAGCAGAAGCGGATGATTAAAACGCACCTGATATTTTGCTTGCTGCTGTCAGTGTCAGTGAATATTATTTTTGGAGTCACAGTTTATTGCTAAAGAATCAGTTAGCTTACTCGGACCAGTTGAAAGTTCCAAAATAACATCCACTCCAGGGATACAAATTCAGGATACGCTGAAGACTGCTGTTTTATTATAGGTGGTTGTCATATATTGTATTATCCGAGTAGCGCAGTGTGTAAGCTGGAACATTGAAATCAAAAGTGCCGACGCAAAGTGAGCGATCTGATTCTTTAGCTATAAACTGTGGCATAGGAATCCAAATGGCCGCGCCCTATGTTGGGCGTGTCGGACCTCTCTCTTGCAATTTTTAGGCGTTTTATCGAAAAACTGTCAAAGAAAAGGTAATACACACGAATGTATTATATACAGTGGGGACGAAAATTGTACCCTCCTCTATTTTAACTTCTAAATGAAAAAATATAACAAAACAAAAACGATGTAAAACTTTTTGTTATAACGAGATGCACTTTACTTGAGAGACGTAAGATAGATGGAGTTACTAGCTTTAAATTTTCTTATGGAAAGTAGGGTTATGTGATACCTCATTTAAAAGATATTTTCTATATTTTTACAACAGATTTAGGTTTTTATATTTTTACAGAAATTACATTAAATAAATTCATGAAGTAGGTTAAATTCTTTTTTTTATTAACCGCTTCAACCTCAAAGGATTATTACCGGAGGTATATTACCTTATAAATGCTGTTTTTTACAATAGTATACAATGGATAATTAACATTTTGGCTATTACAGAGTAAAGTCAGTATCTTTTATAATTTTAAGCAATTTTTTACTGTTAGAGGGAACACTGCACAAATGACAATTTTTTGTAGCTGGTACTTTGTTCTTATACAGACATGTTCTGGGCCTTTACTAATAAGTTATATTCTTGATAACTCTCGTATTAACAATTATTATTTATTATTAAGGAAACGCTTCTTGTATTTACTAAAATAAATAAATTAAGAATATCGAAGGTGATTTAAAAACCACTTGACGTATTACATTTTTAATAACTTCTTAGCAAAAAAACTTATTAAAAAATTATCTTCTAATATTATCTAACATTTCTTGGATTATTGCGGCACACGAGGATTATCAAGAATGTAATTTTTGTAAAAACAAAACAAAATAACAAAATTAAAACTGTTTGCTTGAAAGTAAATATAATCAAAATATCTTTCAAATGAGGTATTACATGACTTTACTTTCCATTAGAAAATTTAAAGATAGTAACGCCCTCTATTTTACGTCTCAAGTAAAGTGCATTTCATTACAACAAAAATATCATGTTTCTCTAATTTCACATATTTTTTGTTTTATGTCTCTATCTTCTTGCATTTTGAAAACATACTACAAAATGCTTTCTTATGACATCGCAGGATTGCCTTAGAAAAAATCTAACTTCCAATTTAACCTCTTTCCCCCTCCCCGACTGACTTACAAAACAAAGTATTTTCGTTTTTAGTTAACGCCTAATCTGGGCCACTTATTACTTCAAATTTCAATTGTAAAACGACTGTGACAGACAAACAA